AATATAGTTAAATAAGTAGTATCTAAGTTGATATATTTTATATTGAATGAATGACCTGTACTGGCTCGACCTCGTGAGGCGTCTGCGTTTGTATGCCATAGGTGCCCATCATGGCCTGCAGCCGCATCGACTCCGCGATCAGTACCACTTGCACCACCAGATCTGTTGCCGTGCCCTGTTCACATTTGGTCACCAAAATCACTATACAACCATGCTTATATAAAAAATTATTACAACGTGTGCTACGGTGTCTAAAGGTAGACAGAAGACCCGAATCTCTTTTAGATCTTCCATACATATCAAATAGGATTCTGCGTAGTTTGGATTACATTGTAGTAAATGATTTAATAGCCCAACTATTTACTCGATAACGTGAAGTAAATAACTATTGGTTATCGTAGTCAAACATAGCTGAAAATAAAATGCAAATATTCATCAGTTGACAGCTAGCTGTGCGGCTAATATGTTGTGTAATATATGCATTAAGCATTTCAAAGCTGCAGAAATACATAGTTATATCACAGAAATACATTCATTTGCTTTGGATAACGCTATAACCGTAAATTTCTGAGACAAAAATCTATGTATAAAACATATCGTCATCTCTTGTCGGTTTGATCAAAGAAGACAGAGATGACGATATGTTTTATACAAAAATTTTGCTCTCGAAAACCCACAGTAAGAGAGCGATAAAAATATTGTACATCGAAGTTGCAAGTGAAGCGTGTATATTGTTTGCATTGCAACATTATATAAAGTGCTAGGATATCAATACATTTAAATGTGTCATGCTACATTCGAATGAACGACATCTTTACTTACAAATGCTGGTTTGGCCTGATTTGCATGAAAAGAAAATATTTCTTGGGTAAGTTCGTAAGTTGGATAAAACAATTGAAAAGTCAATATATACCACGGTTAATATACGATTAATTTAGCAAAAAAATTGAAGTAACACAATCGATTCTAGATAACCGAGAAACCTCCATTAGCGAGGTTGGTTAGAGAGAGACCGCTATAAACGAGACAAACATCATGTACCCTTGGTTTAGTTTGCCCCCAGTTAATCTAAAGGTCACATTCAAGAAAGTAATACTGTACCTGAAATGCAGAGTACCGTCCAGCTCTTCTCGGGCGGTTGTAAGAGGGCAGATATCTTCGTATGGGATCCAACTCGTTGACGTGCAGCAAGCCGCCGGTCAGCAACTGAGCCAGCACGAACAACGACTGCGCCCATAGGAATAAACCTCCTGTATCTAACATAATAATATATTACAAATCACTACGATTAATATTAGTAAAAAAAAGCTGTAAAGCAGATTTGTTTGATAAGTAAGCAAGAGTCAACCATTCCATTTTTCAATTCCTATGTCGTTTTTATAATATAATACAATTTTATAAGCACTACAACTATAAAAAAAACAAATGGCTAGTGATTATTTCTTTTTTTTAAATTTATAATTCTATATTCTCATCTTAATTTAACAATATTCTAACTTCATAATAATTCGCATTCATCTTTTTTCAAGTTGGATTTGTTTAAAACGTTTTTATATGAAAAAAAAATTGAAAAATATTTTGTCATTTTTTTATTTAATTCCAACTCAACAGACTATTTTTTTCTCTCCAATTTTTTTTTTAACTTTTAGAATTATTAATTTAAAGTTACATGCTTTATACACTGTAGCTACTAAAAAAAATTATTATTGTCAATATAATGTTCTTCATAATATTTTAGTGTAAAAAGTTAAAGAAGTAAAAATGCAATGCAATATATATTAGTAACAAAAAGCACTTTAGGAAAATTAGTGACATTTCATCAAATTAAAAGATAAAAGAACAGAAAATTTCTTTGCCGAACAAAATCGTGTTACCTTTATTTACACTATCGTCCGGTTGGTCTGTAATTACATTAAAATTTATTTTTTAAAAACAACACAATTAAAACAAAAAAAGTGCAAAATTGAAACTATAAATTTGAAAGTTTTATCAGATTCAGATGTTTATATAACTAAGGTCTTCTTAGAGGACTGGGATTCGTTGACGATTTTTAACAAGAAAAAAACAATCACTGAACTTACTAGCAGGTATCCTGCGAACAGAGTATGGCTCACTGCGTTCATTCTCAACACCTTCGCGAGGAACATAATAGTACCAAGGAATTACGGGATCTGTAAAACAATTCAAAAATAAAATAACTTATTAAAATAAATAAAACAGTTTAATAACATACTTAAAACATGTAAAAAAAAATTCAAAATTACTAAAACCTGATTCAAGATTGCAATGAACAACGATTTTTAATTATGTTATGTCTCTTCTGATATACAATAAAAGTTGACTTTCTAGCTCTATTATTATAATTTTATAAGAATTAAATATACAAATCAATACTTTACCTCCATATTCATCCATATAAATCCGTGACTTCAACAACTTTTGATATTCTTCAACTTGTTCAGGTAAGGTTCTAAATACGCCATCAATTATCATCAAAACATAAAAAAGTGGCCATTCCGATTCTATCCCTTCAAACTCCTTCAACTCTCCTTCATGGTAATACCTCCTGTTTGGATCTTCCAATGCACATTTATAACCATCTCGGCTGAACCGCTTAAAGCCATACCTCCCTTGTAATCGGGTTAGAATATTATTTTTTGTCAACTGAACTAAAAGTTCTTCATGTGTAGCAAACGCAGGGAACGATATGGTTGGTAGTAATGCTGCATCAACTCCCTAAAAGATATATCTAAATGGTAATAAGTATATACGAATTTCCAATTCATAATTTCAACACTGGATTAATAAACTAATTTTGATAAATATTTTTTTTATTATTCTAACCTTTGAACTTGATTCTCGTGGGAGCATTGTTTCGAATATACTTCTGTTCCTGTTGTGTGCATCAATGTCTACATAGACAACACTCCATGAAGCACCCTTATCACCAAACAGGTTGCAGCCATTTATTGCTTCCAGAGCAGCTTTAGCCATTCCTGAAAATATAAAACTAAAATATAATAAAGCCAATAATAATAAAGATTTCTATATTATTATGAAAAATGTCTATTAAACATGGAAGTAGAATTTTTCCAAATGTAGTTTACCTATGGAGGATGCATGAATTTCTGGTTTGCCATCATTGTATTTAGAACCTCGTTCCCACATGCCATAATCTGGAGTTCTGTACGCTCTTTCTACATAATAGACTAAATTCTGCACAAATGCTACTTCATCCTGCAAATTAGAACAGGTAACAAATGTTAATAATATATTTTCTATATTAACACATTGAATGCCTTTAGGTAATCTGTTAATAGTTTGGTTCAGAATTAAATTACAAATAGATATTTAAAGCAAAAATTATTTTTTAATAGTTTAAATTAATATCAAACAGATTCACAAAGTGGTACCTGTGTGTATATAATTTGGAGTCCCGCTGTTATCATTTGCACAAGAAATAGAAGGTAGAGAGAGACAACATCAATTTGGAGGTGATGATACTCTTCGTCTGATAGCACAGGTTCACCGGTAGTGAGGTGAAATTTGACATGTAGTGCATGTGCGGCACTCTGTCTGGTCTTGAAAGCTTCCACACGAGCAGATTGCTTTATCCAGCATTCTAAGATACCTCTCATACATTTGACAGTACTCTGACCCAATTCATGTGATTTACCACGGTCATCATCAATACGCCTGAAATTTTAGTATAAGTTTTAAATTAATCATATATTGTGAAAACTAAAGTTTTTAAAAGGTTGAATTTTAATGTACATATTGCTATCTTTTATGAGTACTTGGCTAAATCCTGTTACAATGAGATACAATAAATCTAAAAAGTGAACAGAACATAATCATATTAATGCATGTTTCAAATGTAATAAGTAAAAATAGATACCTGTAGGCTTGGTAAAGACCCCATACTGCAGCTGCACAGTAAATACTATCTCTTACACTTCCTACATGAAGATCTGAAGATAGAACTGGAAATAATCCAGTTATAGGACTTTGGAATCTTAGCAATTGCCTTTTTACTGGAAAAAATAATAAGAATAGGTTAGCAAGGATACCTTAATTAATAAATCACTAAAGGACTGCAACTGCTTCAAATGCTTGTTATAAAATTAATTATATGACATACCTATTGCATAGTAAATATCAAGTTGTCTGACTGTGTCCTCATAATTAGATATCTTGAGAAATTGTTGGGCATTGATATCATCTATGCTTCCTTGCCGGATCATTATGTCTGGGAACACCTAAAATAGCAGTTAACATTATCAAACACATAGGGACGTATTTTTTAAAGTTTTTACTCAATATGAATAACAAAAGAACATAAGTATCCGTAATTTATATTAGATACAACTAAAGCCTAATTTATAAAACTTTATTTAATTACTCAAACTTTATAATTATTGTCAAGTTGTCTATACATTTATGAAGAATCTACAATAATTAAGCAATATCTTTCGTTCTTCAACCTTATATTCAGTTTTTGTTTTATGATATTTGTAGCTGTGTACAATTTCAATTCAATTAAAAATGATTGTTTTGACTATTTGACATATTAACGTTAGTGTCCTTGATTTGACATAAGGACACTAGTGTCAAATGTCAAATCCGTTGTATAAAATATAGCGTTTTCAGAGGAAAAACATCGCCCAAATGTTGTAACTAATAATTTAAAATTGGTTTACTGCGCTTGTTTATCTAATAATTTGTTATTTTTCTTATTTTCTTTAAATTAAAATAAATGTTAAAAGTAATATTCCCGTTAGTTTTATATTCTGTAATGTGACTTCATTTGTGGTATGTTATTGATTTTGTCAATTTTTGTGATCCTTGTTTTTCCTGGGATTGTTGAAAAATAGTAAACAAAATTTTATTTGTACATTGTAATTGTATATAACTAAATTATATCTATCATAAACATATTTAAGATTTTATAAGAAAAGTTTTAGTGAAAGAAAATAAAAGAATATAAACAGGTTTGTCCTTTAGACAATAAGATAAGAGTTATGCGTAATATGTGCTGTTTTTAATTGAGATATGAGTTTTTAATAGCACGCTAAGTAGCTGATCACAAGTACTTGATATTAGTACAAAGCAAGCAGAATGAGTAACGAAAATAATCAAGCCCGTGACTACTCAGGTCACAACCGAGACACACAGGTTGGCCTTATAAATGGTCATTACCACTAACCACACTGAAATTTTTGTGCACTACACCACTAAATTCTTATTTTTTAGTTTTAATAATGGGATTCGGCTTGTGATTAACCATGAATATAATAATATTTAAAGTAATATTTAATTGTAATTTCTTTAGGTCTTAACATTTTTAGAATAAAATTGAATATGAATTGTGTGAAATAAATTATTAGAAACTACCATTTTAGTGCATAGAATCTATGAAAGTTCTTTGTAATATTTTGCTTTCAATTTTTTTTTTGGATTATATACAAAATATTTAAGTTCTTTGCTTATCATTAATTCTCTATATTGGAATACTTTTAATTTTTTGGTAGTATAACAGGACACATTTAATAAGAGTCTGTGGATGTCCCGAAATGTATTTGTGATAACTAACAATTGTGGTATTCTCTCAATACCATAATATTATTATTATTAATAATTTGATATATTAACATATAATTTGTTATAAAAAATATTATATTTATCTTATACTCTATTTTCTTATTATTTCAGTTGGATCTCTTTTCATTAATTGGAGGCAGCTGGCCCCCAGCTCCTCGTGAGCCTGAACAAGCCCAGTATGGGACATTGCCCAATAATTATAGATGCACTATGCAACGACCATCACAAAATGAAAGAATAAAATCTGTAAATCTTATTAATCACTTAGCTCCAGAAAAAAAGAGAAACAGAAATAATTTGACTCCAGCTGCCAAGTCTGTAAATCCTGAAGAAGTTCAACATTCAACCAAAATGGTTAATGAGCCTGAGAAAGTTGAAACAGGTATATTAGTAGGTGAGATGAATTGATTGAATATTTTATGTGCATAGACAGATTTTTTTATAAATTGGTTTGTTACTATGAGCAATGCAAGGGCCTTTTTTTCAAATTATGTAAAGACATCATTTTCACTCTATAGAGATCTTTGTTGGTAACATACTGTGGAACGAATAAAGCCTATGTGTTGTTCCAGGCTATGTTCTATATCTATGCCAAATTCAGCGAGATCTATGCAGCCATTCTGGAGATACTTTCAAACAAACATCCATCTATCCATCTAAACATTTGCATTTATAATATTAGTAAGATTAATCTTAAAACCAAACTATTTTGACCTAAAAACTTTTTCACATACTATATTTTTGTTAACATGTCGTTTAATTTAAGTATAACTTTAAGAGTACACATTATCTTCTGTTTACAAATCCAAATGACGTGTTTATTTATATCAATTCAGTGTACTTTGTATTAAAATCTGTTTGCAAATAATTACATAGATTTATTTCCGAAAAGAAGAAATATATTTTGTATTTGAGTACTGAGAATAAAGAAAAACATGAATCTCACCATTTTGAAGTAATTATAACTTCGTTAATGTATAGAAAATAATTCACATAACACTATTTCTTGTGTGTATTCACTTAAACACATTTTAACAAATATCTGTAATGATGTCAAATAGGACAATGTTTGTTCAACATTACGGACTGCATGCAGCTTTACACTATCTATTTATAGTAGACCAATTTCTAATTATAGTTGTAGAGGCGCAGTAGACGAGAGTTGTTTGGCATAAGTTCTAGTCGGCGAATACTATGGCCCATACGTATTATTATCAAGACATAGATATCAATGATATACCATTGTGTGTGCTACAATATGAAGATAGTATGTTATTTGTTACAATTTTTAACACGACGCAATAATCGATTATTAAATTCTCGCTAGACTTACGTAGAAATACGTTGTTTATCCGTGACATGGTACTAATCATGAAATCAATGTTCGATTTTAACGCTTTATTTGTACCGAAATCTGTTATCTAGGCAGTTTTTGTTTTAATTTTTTTGATAACTAGCGGAATTCGGAGCGGGTTTATTCTATCTTTTAAATATTCGATAGTTTTATACGTTACGTATTTAACGTTAGTTGATTAATCAAAAATTTGGGTTAAATCAGCATTAAATATTAAACATGGTTTTAGATGTGCCCGGCGGCGATGCACCCGAAGAGTTGTACGATTCCCCAGCGCTGGGGTCGCCGCGCACGGCGCAACCAAAATCGCCGGTGCACGTTCCGGAAGACATCGGCGTGGGTTCGCTAGTGGAGGTCGCCACTGATGTTGATCAACATTACTACGGCGTCGTCAGATGGATCGGAATTATTGATGGTATGTTATTATTTAATACAGTACATATTGAAATACCAACAGAAACTTATCAATTATATAAACAAAAGACTCTGCGACGTGATACCAAATTATGATAAAATGTTTTAACAATTTTTCAAGTCATACAGACACTAAGGCCTACTTAATACATATTTGTAAAAAAAAACAAATTGCGAGGCAAAAATTAAAAATTTTAATAATCAGACACGGCGACGGCTGGCGTGGAGCTGGAGGAGAGCGTGTGCGGGCTGGGCGACGGCAGCCGCGGTGGGGCGAAGCTGTTCTCGTGCGCGCCGGGCCGCGCGCTGTTTGTTCCGCTGCCGTTGTGCCGGCGAGACGCGCGCTTCCGCGACACCCCGCCTCCGGACCGCGCCGATATGCATCAAGCTCAGGGCTACGATCAGGTCTTTATTTCAGTCTTTGTCTTTTTTGCCTGCTACTGTTTGCTCAATCTCTGTTGGAATGAACAAGCGTAATTACAAGTTTTCTTAACATTTAATTAATTAACTTTTGATGCTGCATGGACCTACACTTGACAAATATTTTTATTTAATACTGTATAAATATAATATTACTGGCGTTCGCTAAATGTGCTAATCATGTAAAACTTGTATTGTTTGCCCTGTTCAGCCGGACTGTCCTATCGTGACTGGTGTGGTGCCGCCGCTGAGCTCGCTGGGTACCATCGCGGGCAAGAACCGCGGTATTCAGGGCCACCACAACTCCTGCTACCTGGACGCCACCCTCTTCGCAATGTTTACATTTACTAGCGTTTTTGACGCACTGCTCTATAGACCTCCAGAGCCGGAGGTAAGTGATAAATTGTATTTTAAAAGATAAAAATAATCACTAGACGCTGACTACATTTAAACGTGTTAATTTTTATCGGTAGTTGTTAGATGAAGAAAGATATGTTGTAGGACTCCCCGCACTACTCGGAGGTGCAGCGCGTGCTGCGGGAGGAGGTGGTGAACCCGCTGCGGCGACACGGCTACGTGCGCGCCGACCGCGTCATGAAGCTGCGCACGCTGCTCGAGCGCCTCTCCGACGTGCCCGGACTCACCTCCGAAGAGAAGGTGCACTTACAGGGTGTTTTACCGTTGGTCCCATTGAGTCCATATCGTTGGTCCCATTGAGTCCATATCGTTGGTCCAACGGGCAAAATACCATTAACAGAATCCTGACTGTTGTTAGTTATTGCCCCATAGTCCTTCAACAATCGACTACTCTGAGTATCTCATACAATTATTTTAAATGCCAAGACTATTTCAGCTTCGTTCACTCTTGTCTGGTCAATCCACAAATTATTATAATATTTTCTGCCTTTTGGTCACCCTTCCCATAATGGGTCATTATACCCATGTCAAAATATACCAGTTCTTCAGTAATAACCTAACTGCACTTTCTAATATTAAATTTTTAAAAATTTTTAGGACCCGGAAGAATTTTTGAATGGCTTAGTAGCGCAAATATTAAGAGCTGAACCATTCCTCAAACTGTCTTCGGGACAGGAGTCGTACTGTTATCAAGTGTTTGTGGAAAGAGACAGGAAGGTGACGTTCCCCAGCGTGCAGTGTCTCGTGGAACAGTCCTTCGCAACATCAGGCGTTAAACTCTCTGAGGTAAACTTATTTTACTTATAACTTTGACTTTTTGAAATATAAATATTTAATTAAATTTATAAACAAAATGAGTGGATTGTTTGTTACAGGTTCCTTCAACTTTAATAATACAAATGCCTCGATTTGGTAAACAATATAAATCATATGAACGTGTGCTGCCAACACCACATCTAGATATCACTGATCTTATTGAAGGATGTAAGTATGATTCAACTATAAACAAATTTATTCCTAAAAATATTATCACCAGACAGACAAAATATAAAGATATGCGTACTTTTATTATTCACAGGCCTATTTTTTGATAAGTAACCACTTAACTCTATACATATCCGCTGGACGAGTTGTTGCTAGGAAATGACAACTTTACAGTAGTTACAATGTCACAAGATACTTGTCCGTCATATCGTTTTTTTTTTATTTAATTCTCCATGTAGGTGTTATATGATTACGAATAGTCGCACAATAGTGTGTGATGTATTGTGTCAGTGCCGCAGCAGTGCGTGCTGTGCGGCGCGCTGGCGACGTGGCAGTGCGGCCCGTGTCAGCGCAACTGCGAAATGGACGGCAGCACGCTCTGCGACAGGTGTCTGCGTCTCTCACATCCAACCACACCGCGGCACAAGGTATGCAACTTTCACCGCAACAAAGAATACTACACCCCGTAAAAATACAACGATATAGAGGTTTTCAAATATCTTGGCATCTCAGAAAACCGTACGAGTTGCTGCGAACAACACAGATATAGCAATACAAACGCGCAGATGACCTTGAGCGGGCAAAATATTTGAAAAAACCTATAATATGGTCGTCTGCTATTTCTATAAGTAATGTGAAATATAAACTAAAGCGGCCGATTGTTTTATAGAAATAGCATTAGTATTCGTGAAAATTGACTTTAAAATATCATTAATGTATGAAACTTGATAAAAGCCTTACACGGGGAATCGTTCAAAATGATTATATATTTACTGTTTTCATATTTTCTTTTAGTATTGTGGATGTTCAAGTACGATGGTTCTGCGAAATAAAAAACATTTTCGTTTCTTAGGCGTCTCCACTAAAAATTTGCGAGGATATGCTCGATACTCCAGAACCGTTTGACGGACCGAGAGTGTTCATGGAGCTGTTTGCGGTCCTGTGCATCGAGACCAGCCACTACGTAGCGTTTGTCAAGACTGGGGTCGGTCATGACGCCCCTTGGTGCTTCTTTGATTCCATGGCTGACAGAAAAGGTCAGTTTTTATAGTGCGAGTTTTCTCTTAAAGCTAAAACATGCGATAAACATAGTGCCAACATTTGGATGTATCTGTTTTAACTGCTACTTAGGGGGGGTTATGGCTAGTGACATAAGGTCCATATAATGTGGTGTTGCAGGTGAACGCAACGGGTACAACATCCCGGAGATCGTGCCGCTGCCGGAGCTGGGGGCGTGCCTGGCACGCGAGGGGGCGTGCGAGCGCCAGCTGCCCGCATATTCCAAGCGGCTACTCTCTGACGCCTACATGTGCTTCTATCGGAACCACGACGTCGCCATGTACCGTTAGCACAGCTAACTCCGCATTGCTAACTCGCACCACTGAAATATACACGTGTTCTTCCGAGGTTTGGATAGCTTCACATAAACTAAATCTATGGGCTATACCAATGCTTAAGTTTGAGACAAATCTCGAATTATTGATTGGAATATAAAGGACATACCACCGATAAAATTTGAACAAAATCTCACTTTAATATACAGGGAACGCAATTTTTTATGTTTGAAAATCCAATGTTTTTTCTCGATTGTGGACATCCTGGGTTTATTTATATTTAACCATAGAAGGCAGGCAGCATCCATACTTGTACAGATTATTGACCTTAGATTTAAAATCAACATAGGTTTTGGACTCAGAAACCCACGGTTAAATGTTTTGCATTTACAAAACAGTTACTGTTTAGCTTTATACCAAAAAAAACCTTACTCTTAATACTTGCAACATGTTTACTATCATCAAATAGAATTGTTCACTGTAGAACTTTATTCGTTAATCTTATACATTATATTCTACTACTATTAGTTTGCTGTTGTCTTTATAATCTTTCGATAACTTAGTTTTAATATTGATGTAACCATAAAGATTAGTATTATTTGTATGAAAATATTGTGACCATAATGAAAAAATATATTATGGAGTTAGTTTTATAAAGACAAAAATTCGTTGACTTGGAGTTATTAAAAGAAAGTATTTAAAATGATTTATAAATATATTTATTTCACTAGTGTAGATGTATAATAAATAATATATTAATCTTTATTTAAAAAAAAATCGTCACAAACTGTTTGGCTAAATTAACTGTTTACTTTTAATTACTGTAAACCAGTAGTTTACCAGGTTTACATCATAAAGATTTGAAGCTTATTTTATCAATTACTGTACAGTATTTTAAAAAAATTAAATAAATATAGCTATAGTTAAACCATTTGTACCGTTAAACATATATTATTTATCTCCTATTTTATCTAAAACAGAATATTCTTCTAGGTCATTACATTTTATTTGTCATAGACTGAAAATCAAAGTAGTATCTATTAAGTCATAAAAACTAACATTCGTAGATGCTTTATATATAAAATAAAGCATTTGAAATTAAAATTTAATGCATTTTTCTTACACTGTCCTTAGTAGTAGAGAAGGTGAAGCGAGGATTTTGGGATTTATTCAAATATGACAGTTAAATATAAGAGGGGTAATCTTGCATTCTATTAAGTACTCCCATCAAACAGAATTCTCGCCTGCCCTACTATAATACTACTTTATACTCTGCAATAACCTATAATGTACTCAGGCACTCTTATGTTTTACTACGGGTTTTGTCTACAATGACACTTTTATTTAAACATATTGTCATCTCTCATATTCTCTTTGAAAATACAAAGACAACAATATGTCTGTTTTCGTTTTTTAATGAGAGCATCATAACTCTTCACGGTTTACCTCTAGACTTAATGTACAGTTGCACTCAAACTTAGGTTGTGGTACATGAGTCATACCTTCACGAATGGTCACTTCACTTGATATTCTCTTGCTCCATTCCTGAAATAAAGTAATAAAAGTTACTCATCTTATGTATGTTACACTTGAAACACTACATTCAGTTGGTAATAAGCACAAAAAGGCATATACTTACAGAGAATAATAATGCATGATAGCATATAATATGATGAGGTAGTAAGTTTTCTTCTGCAAATAGTCTTCCATTCTTAGCTATATTGTGAGCCTTATCATCATTTTTAAGTGCCCAATGTATCTTTTCAACTAAATCACTCAAGTCCCGTGCTACAGGCACGTAGTGTTCCCATTCACGAAGTTGACTATAAAAATGTTCGTAATATGGAGACTCCTGTTTCAAAACCATTCCACCTCCGGATAGAAGGTAAGGAAATCTATATGCTGCTACAGTTCCATCAATATTTATTTGATATTTGTACTACAACAATAACAAATTTAATTAATAGTATGTATTTATAATTTGTAACTTTTGAGTTAAAATTAATGATAGCTACCCTGGAAAAAAAGTATGGAGCAAAAAACAACTTACATCAAAAAACTTGAAGAATGACACATGTGGTTGTTTAGGGCCATACTGAGCTTCCTTTTCTCGATAAAAGAAGAAATTCGTAAGAGACACATTGAATAATTCAGGATTCTCTCGTGCAATGTCAATTAATTTTAGTCGCTCAGCTCTTGAGTCTCGTCCGCGCCAAAACACCATGGGCTTACGATCTTCCCACTTCTTTTCTACATTCCCTTGCACTGATAATGTGTCAAGAGTAACTCTGCATATAAACAATAAGAATTATAATAATGGCACATAGACAAAAATAAAGAAAGAACTGATTTAAATACCTTCCCATATTTTCTAATGCTGATTCAGTTATGTCATAAGTAGGCATTACAATATCCATAGTATCAACACTACCACACCATGAGAACATAGGAAGTGGCTCTGAGTCTTTATGTATCAATGGCCAATCACCTAAATTAATAACCAATTCCATGTCAGGTAACACAACCTTTCTTGTAAGAGATAAGAGGATATTGTCAGAAAACATATTAAATCCAATATGCTTGCCATAACAATCCCTGTATATTTGATTGTTCTTTATAACATAATGACAGAAACTAGTGCTTTCAGGTTTGTGATATTTATCTACAATCATTTTGACTTGTTTCTGCATATCTTGGTTGTTAAATGGTTTCAAGTCTTGTATAATACTTGCATATGAGGATGGACATTCATAGTTATTTAACCACAAATTTAAGTCTTTTTGGGGACAATCACATTGGTCTGCTTGAATAGGACCTGAAATAAATTGATTTTATTAAGTAAAAAAAGTCAATACCAGTTTTATAAATGTACTTGTCTATAAAAATACCTTCTAATGTCAATGGATAGTCATTTATGGGTTTGCTCTTGTAATAAATGCTAACTTTAAGATCCAAACATGTTTCATAAACCTTGTATCTAACTATAAAGCTGCCATCCTTCCTGTCAAGTGTGTTAACCCAAACACGGCAAAAGTTGTTTTTCACTGATCTTCCTTTTATCTCCACTGCAAAATTCTTTCCAAACTCTGGTGTATAACTGGAATGTAATATATTTTTATTGAAACCTTAATACAAAACTATATTCTTACCTCATTCATTGAAAAAATTAAGATAAGAGTTATATTTATTATGTATGGATGTTGTGCCAGTGGAAATCCACCATAACCTGTAAAATATATTTTCCTTCCAAACATCAGGTAAATTGTTGCATTTAACAGTTTTTGTGTTGCATTTGTAAATATTTTTTTCTATATCTTGGGGATCATTCATTACTTATATTATATGCAGAAAATATTTTAAAGTAGCTTAGATAAACAGAATTGTTTAGATCTTTTACTATATACACAAAGACATTACGTATTAATATAATCATTGCTTATTTTACATTGACATTGTGGTTTTGTAATCATTTCACTTACGTTTCTTCATTAAAAGAAGTAAAACTAACAATGAAATATCTAGCCGGCATCACAATATCTCTAGGGTGTAAACCCGGCCCAGTTAATGCTACCTCAAATGCACTAGATAAATGTATTATCATGACAAAATATTTCCAAATCATATATTTCATTTTAATATAAATCAGCGATAATAAAGAAAAATGAAAGAATCTGAAAGTATTTGGTTAGATTTGATAACGGATTTATTTGTTTTGTTGCAATATTAGAGTAAGAGTTCATCGACTTGTCAAATCAATGATAACCAAAGAGTATAATAAGTATACTATAACTTTATTTGTGACTGTCTCATGATAACCAGTTGGTAATGAAATTTTGAACTGGTAACATTTTGATGCTGTCAAAATTTTGTCTATGATTTGAAATCCTGTGTTGCAAACGTACGCAATTTCTTGCCAATTAGGCTACTCGGGATGGAAATCGGCGATATAAAGATCTTGATGACGACAGGTCACCTTTTAGGCTAATTGAAGGACAATGAGATTAGCACCTAAATGAAAAAATCACGCATTCACTCGTGCTGGTCCCCATTCTATGATTATTATAAATAGAAGTGTAAAAAAATAATTCCAATACATACTACCAATATAGCAGTTTCAGAGGCGTTGAAGTAGAAAATCTTGCTTGCTTTTATTTGTAACTCTAATTTAAGACAAAGACTTTCTAATAATAAAAAACTGTGCTTTTACTTTTCTACAGCGAATTTTAGTACCTCAGCTCTGGTTACTTAAGCTGTGAAAAAGGGCGATATCTTGTTCTTGTTGTTGGCAACACTGTTTTTTGTTTTTTTTCAATAGGATCAAAAAAAAAGGAAACTAATTTTGTAGGTTATATTTCGCTCTTAAATCTGCAATTATATATTCAGACTATGAATATATAATTAATCTTCATTAAAAAGAATTTAATCTTTAAGCCTATAATGGCTACTTCTAATATGAAAATATTGTGCTCGACCCTTAGCAGGTTAAGGTAAATAGACTAGTATAATCTCAAAGTACTTTTTATAAGTTTTATTTATATAAATTAACTTGATAAAATGTATGTTACAGAGTTGACTATATTCCTATAAGACAAAATGCTTTTTATAAACCACCAAAATATAGACCTCCACATTGGTTTGTACCTAAAGAGAGAGTGGTAAGATTATGTTAACAATATTTTTTCATAAATTAAAGTTTAAGAATTGCTTCCAGCATTACTACAATTTATTGTATTTTAACAGATGAGTGAAGATTTTCTAACACAAGAAAATAGAGATTTTATTGAAGAAATAATACAAGATAAACGTAATTCTCAAATTGCACTAGAATCCCCTTTAGCTCATGCAGACCAGCAAACAATTGAGTGGAATCCTTTTACACGAAGAGTTGGTTTAATCGCGCGAAAAATTGGTAACTATCCACTATGGTCAAAAGAAGGAAAGAAATATCAAACAACTCTTTTGCAGGTGACAAAACATTTTAATTACTAACTTCTAGTAAATCTTCTGGAAAACGTGTATATTCTTATTCCTTCAACATCACCTACATTTTCTCTCTAACATGTTATTTAAATTTGACTTGCCACATGGATGTATTTACTTTGTTTCCCCAATATTCTGTAATTAAAATAACATAGTTTATAATCCTGATAATGTTTTTTAATACTTTTATTAACTTTCAGGTAGTTGATAATCATGTTATAAAGTATGTACCTCCTGAGCAATTTAATCCCATGAAAACAACAAAAGTACAGTGGAAAGAAAAGAAAACATTAGGGTGTCTTTTAGTAGGGTCAGAAACTGTAGATCCCAGCACAGTCACCAAAGAATACTCTGGCATATTTAACAGTGTTGGAATGTTGCCAAAGCGACATCTATTTAGATTCATGGTTTCGCCACATGCAGCTTTACCAACTGGCACACCTTTGTTTGCTACACATTTTAGAGTTGGAGATCATATTGATGTTAGAGCTAAAACGTTAGTATGTTTTTTATGCAGTTGTAATATATTTTATAATGTTATATTATACGTAAGTCTATTACTAATGATTTTTAAAACTTTTTAAAATTATAGCATGGACAGAGGATTTCAAGGTGTAATGAAGAGATGGGGATTTAGTGGTATGCCTGCATCTCATGGTGTTACAAAAACACACAGAAGACCAGGTAATATAGGTGGTGGTGGAGAAAAGGCCAGGGTATGGCCTGGTACTAAAATGCCTGGTCACATGGGGAACAGGTGTGTATAAATATTTTCAACCACCTTGAAATGAAATATTTTTCTTGAAATTAAATATAATGACTGAATTTATAACTAAAATCATACATATATTTTTAGGTGGAGAACATTAAGGGGTGTGAAAATACTTCGTATAAACACAAAATATAACATTCTTTGGACATTGGGAGTTGCGATCCCTGGGGAAACAGGAGCTGTATGTTATTTATATGATACTATACTACCTCTGAAAAAACTTAAAACTGCACCACCATTTCCTACCCACCCAGCCAGTGATGACCTTCCATTAGAATACTATGATGAGTCTATACATCCATTTGAAGGAGAAACAATCTTATTTGATGAAGTGTAATTTATATTTATTCTTATAATAAAGTAGAAATACATATTTGCTTTTTATTTTAATTTCAAATAATTAAAAAAGTATGTAATTGAATTTGATATTGTCTGGAACTTGCTATGAAATTTGCCTATCTCACTAATAATTTCTATAAAATTCCTTTGTTTAAAGGTTATGAATTATAAACACCAATTTTTCCACAATCCCAGTCGTAAAACACCAATGAATATAAATAAAACAGCCTTTGAATAAGAAAATCATTTAATATTACAATCACTTAACTACTTATTAACTATAGACTATCTAAATTTTGATTTATAATACTTGTTCTACTTTTTTAAAATTTCATTGGGATATATTTGTTATGACTTCAAATTCAAATTAAACAATAATAAAACTTACAAAAGCTGTAATATCGAAGCAAATAAAATAAATATCTGATTATGTCCAGCTATCCAGCTAATTGCTTACTTCTAATTCACACATAATATTAGTGTGAAATAAAGAAATGTATTTTGATTATTCACAGTATTTGAGCAGTAATTCTTTAAACACAAAGCTTAACATTTAGTTTACTCCTACTTAATTAAATCTATTGCTGGTTGGGAGGTTGAAAACCATAGCCCGGGTATGGCTGCGGTGCACCAGAGGGTGGAGCTCCAGGTGCTGGTGCCCGAGCATAAGGATATGGAGATGGAGGATATTGAGAAGGAGGATAACCTTGTTGATAAGCATGCGGAGGATACGCCCCACCACTGGGCGGATAATTCTGTGGATTCTGAGGGTATGTTGATTGAGGTGGGGGTGCAGTTGACACTGAGGGTGCAGGACTGCCGGGTTGAGAAGAGGGATTAGAATATGGTGGTTGTGTAGCTGGAGGATAAGGCGATGGCTGCCCAGAAGGTGGATACTGTTGCCCAGGTGGACCACCTTGAGATTGTACCCCAGAAGCAACAGTTGAAGGAGGGGCATTGTTTCCATGAGAACTGGAATTATAAGTCGGCGATTGTGCTGACGGAGATCCATAGCCTGTACTTGTTGGATTTTGCGATGTATATCCACTAGGCGGTGGCTGAGGGGAACGGTTCGGTTGAGAAATTGGAGTGGAACTATATGCAGAAGTTGGTGTAGTGTTAGGAAATGGTTGAGATTGATATGGCTGAGGTTGGGCAGATGTTGAGTTGTAAGTGCTGACACCAACATTCGGATAATTAGCACCTGACTGAGGAGGTGGATATGCAGAATTGCCTGTATAAACAGGCTGACTTGCACCACGAACAGGGTATGGTGAGCCTGAAGCAGCAGGACTTCCAGGGGGAGGTGCATACGGCTGTTGAGCAGTTGATGGTGGATATCCTGGACCTGGATGAGTAGATGGTGGATAATTGCTAGGTGTTGTGGTGATGGGTGGACCATAAGTAGAATTAGGAGCATATCCTTGGGGCCCTTGTTGTGATGGATTTGGTGGTCCATAACCTTGACTGGGAGGACCATATCCACTTTGGGGAGGACCATATCCACTTGGGGCACCTTGATATTGACCCTGATACTGATTCTGTGGATATGGCCTTTGTCCATAAGACTGTGTTGGCCTAGTTGGTGCTGTGGAAACTCCTGAAGGTGGTCTATATGCTTGTTGCGGTGATCCTGGCACTTCTGCAGCACTTGATGGGGTATTCATTGGTCCTTGTGGTACATTACCAGCAGCAAGTTGGTGTGGTGGCTGAAGCATTGAAAGAATAAAATTACACACTCAATGTCCACTGTTGAAATAAGGCTTCAAAATTTGCCATCACAATTTGTAATTTAAAAAATATTAGCAATTTAGTTGAATATCACTATGGGAATTGATTATGATTTTAACATGCCAAGACAATGGAAAATAGTTTAAAAATTTGTGTATTGGTTCTGATACAAAATAACAAGATCTTAAGATCAATCTGAAAATTGACTCAAATCACTTTCTTTCGAAGAAATTGTAAAACTGGACCATCTTAGTAAATTAAGATTTTAGAATTTATTTACAATACTTGATTGATGGTTAAATTAGTATTAAGTACCAAATTTGCTATAAAGGTGAAGAACAACAATTTTATTCATTAAACTCATTAACTAAAAATTATTTTTCTAAACTTGATTACATAGTAAAATTAAACCAAAAGGACAGATTACCATATGGTACTTTAAGGAATTGGATATTTTTTTAATTTTATCTACAAAGTTATAAATTTGTTAATGTTTCTAGTCATTCAGTTAGCCTTCTAGATTTATAGCTATCCCAAATTATAAATTCAAACAAGTTAAAGCAAAATATAAATCATAAAACGAGAAATATACCCTTCCTTAATGTGTAACAAAGTAGATTTAATAGTTTTAGTCAAAATTATAGAGTATTTTAGAACTAGCAGATACTGAGTGACAAAATTAGAGATGTGCAAAATTATATTTGTCTACATACATTCAGATATTAATTTATGTTGTATAACGAGATGCAGTTTCATATATGTATGGTATTAAAAATAGCATGCTACTAAAACCCTTGCTCAGTGCTCGCGATACGATCTTTTCAGCTATATATAAAAGAGTATTTCTTGATCCGCCCAACAGGAAACACTCTATAAAAACAAGTCGACTGTAATTCAATCAATTATTTACCGGTAAAATTGCTTGTATGTTTTGATTAGCGTCAGCTACTGATGCCAAATAAACTAAGTTCCTGTGTAGCACTTGCTGGTACTGGTGACATTCCATTAATTGGCCTTTTGCTTGATACTCTTGAATTGTTTGAATTAAATGAGCGTTTTCATCTAACATTTTCTGAATTTGAGCAGGAGTCAGAGGTGGTCTATTTCCCCTTGGCGCAAATGCCACGGACATTTTGTTTAGATTTAATATGAGAAATAATCGGAAGCAATATAAATTATTGTGACAATGATCACGAAAATTTTAAAAAAGTGGTCTATAGCTTATTTAGACTTTTGTTTAACATAAATTCCAAATTACAACACAAATCCAAATCACTGGATAACTTAACAAAGCGTTAGCAACCATAAACAATTTGAATTTGATTATTATAGATTTTAAGACAAATACAGATTAAATATAAATGGAGCCCACCATAGTCTAAGTAAAATTAATTACTGAGGTGGTCATCGTTTTTACTCTGCTAGACATTGCAGGGATTTTGGAAGATTCAGGGAACTAAGGATCCCGATGTTGAATAGATAAATTGCTTTGAACATATCCAATCCACTACATAGGAATTGTATTAATATTACGACGTATTTTCAGCATTTTCTGGACTCTGGCTTGGAAGATATTTAAATAGCTAAGAACATGGGCAAATTTGCCATTTTTGAGTTGGTCACACTGGACTTTACATGAAAACAGCCTATGTAAATAGTTTAATAAACAAAACATCTTCACTCTCTAATTCAGTAAAGTATTCATAGATAAGGTACATTTGTACTTCATATGTGAGTTCATTACAAAAAGTAAATATTCTTTTAAACTGTTTATTTTTTAATTAAAATTCAATCAAGATTCGTAGCAATGAAATGTATATCAAGCAAAATAATAAGCCAAAATACAAAAAAATACCTATTGTATGTTAATCAAATGTATAAACATTATATTCAGTATGTATAGATGACATCTGCAAAGTAGACTTTAGACTTATCAATTTCACTTAGATAAAACAACGAATTTTGGGGTAACTATGGCTCTTAAAGGTGTAAAAGTAATTGAGATGATGGGGTTAGCTCCAGGTCCTCTATGTGGAACTATTCTTGCTGATTTTGGTGCGTCAGTTACAGTTATTCAAAAGGTCAGTAAAAAACTAATTTTATTACTGTCTAAAGATATCACAATCCTGAAGATCGTTATCTACTTAAAGCTAGGCCAATTCAGAATTATTTGATTTTATGTTTTAGTTATATTTCTTCTATTCTGAAATATAAAAGTTAGACAGCATTCTCCCTTTATTGTACTGCACTTTAATTAAATCAAGCACAAGCTGTTCTTTTGAATTTAATTCATAAATAATAATATTAATATTTAAAAATGTGAGAAGAATAATGTGCAAATAAAAAAGTAAAAAAATTTACTGTTAACAGATTGATAGCATAGCCAACATGGTGGATGTTATGTCAAATGGGAAAAAAACTATTAAAATAAATCTCAAGACCAATGAAGGTGTTCAAGTTTTCACCAAGATGTGTACTTCTTCAGATGTTCTGATTGATACTTATAGACCTGGAGTTATGGAAAAATTAGGATTGGGCCCAGAATCATTATCACAAATCAATCCAAAGTTGATATTTGCTAGATTATCTGGCTATGGACAGAAAGGGTATTATAAGAATAAAGGTGGCCATGATATAAATTATGTTGCTATGTCAGGACTGCTTTCCTTATTTCAAAAAAATAATGAACCACCATTTATACCACTTAATTTAGTTGCTGATTTTGCTGGTGGTAGTTTAATGTGTGTTCTTGGTATACTTATGGCACTCTTAGAAAGAAGTAACTCTGGCAAAGGACAAGTTGTTGATTGCAGTATGACGGAGGGAGCTGCTTATTTAGGAACATGGGTGTTTAAATCAAGAAAATTACCAATTTGGCAAGGAGAACCTGGAACAAATCTTTTAGATGGTGGGGCACCATTCTATGCAACTTATAGAACAAAAGACAATAAATTTATGTCTGTTGGTGCAATAGAACCTCAATTTTATTCTAACTTATTACAGGGGTTAAATTTGTCTGAGGATGATTTGCCAGATGACAATAATGAGCGAAAGGAAAAATTTCAAGAGGTGTTTTTGAGAAAAACTCAAGAGGAATGGAGTAAAATTTTTGATAAACTTGATGCTTGTGTAACCCCTGTCCTTGACATGAAAGCTGTGGATACACATGAGTGCAACAAATCACGAGAGTCATTTTACAAAGACAGTGACAATTTTATTGTACCAGAACCAGCACCAAAATTGTCAGCAACTCCAGGATATTCCTCAGGTAAAAAAGCTCAGCCCAAAGGTGATGAAAATGCAATCGAAATACTTCAAGAGCTGGGTTATAAAGAAAATGAAATTAATGAGTTGGTCAACATGGGCATAGTTAAAGCTAAACTGTGATTTAAATAATAATTTTAATACTTAATTCAGTAATACTTTAATTGTTTTAATAATATCTTCTACATTGTTTTTCAAACTTGGTATAAGGAAGTCATTTTGATATAAGGGATGTTGTTGTATTTTATATAATAATTTTATTAAAATATGTAAATCAAACTTCAAATGATTTATTCCAATAGTAAAATTATTAAAACTATATAGTTTTGCACCATGATATTGCTTGATTCTTTTATCACCTATGTGTATGATTAAATTGATAAATTCTATATAATCCATACCAAATACAGATTTTAGTATCAGTTGACATTGAGTAATAAATTCAGGGGTATTTCTGAATTCTTCAATTTCTTTTTCTACAGAGAACAAATTACTTTTAAGTTCTTCCCAAACTAGTTCTATATTACTGGCATTAATAAAGTTATGATTAATTGATATTGTATCCAGAGTATTTTCAACTTGATGATGCCAACCTGTAGGTACAAAAATTGCATCACCTTTTTCTTGAATCACATCAAAATACTTTACATCCGGATATGTTTTTGGATTAAATAATAGTGGTAAGTTGCCAAAGTTATCCTTAAGTTTGTTTTCTTCACCTGGAGGAAACAAAGTCCATTTCTTTCTGCCTACTACATTTACTGACCAGCTGTATGATGAATAAACATCGCAATGCAGAGGAGTCCTGGAAAAAAAAATTATGTTTCTGGGTAATTTTCTTTTTAAATAGGAGCTTTTGCTATTTATTAAAACCTAGTTGGGACCTTCCATTGAACATAGTTTGCATTGGAGTGTGATCCATTCTATCCTGTTACTCACTCTTGCATGTGCAAAATGTGATGTGCTTTAGAACATGTCTTTATTGAATTGGTAAAAACAAAGTTTACTTAAAAACATCCAAATAATTACTACATTTATAAATTACACACATACCAAGATCCTTCTGGTCCAATGTATACAAACATAAAATCATCGTCCTTATTATCTTGTGAATATTCATTAAGCCAGTCAGATGCAAAGATTTTAGGTACTTCATAAAACATATCATCTGGTTTTATTCTTCTTAAATGCCAATCTTTAAGATACAAGAGCTTATCTCTCTGACTATTTTCCAAATAAGACATGAAGTCTTGAACTTTCATGTATTGCTTGCAGTGTGCGTTATAATTAACTTTACAGCAGTCTGCCACAGGAGCTTCTAAGTCTCCATATTCTGTAGTAAAATGCTCATAATTAATACCTCCATTTTTTATCCAATTCTTGGAACAATTCCAATCTAAGCTTACATTTTTAATAACGCACGGTAAATTATTCATAATAAAATTCTCAAAAAAATAATCGTATGACAAATTACAACCATCCACAACTGATATTGTACAATTTCTATATTCATGTTTTGGAATACATTTATGCTCGAAATCGATTTCAATTTCAACCATTATATTTCAAAGTAAAACGACAATATAATTTGTATATGAATATTAAACAATACTGTAATAAAATTCAGATAATGTATTGTTTGTTTTTCTTTGCTCAGCAGCGAGCAGGGCAATAATCAGCTGTCATTTGTCAAAGTCATATCTAAAATCCAACAGACTTGAGGAATGCCAAAAGAAAATTGAAAAATGAACCCAAAAGAACCTTTAATTGCTTAAATAATACAATAACAAACGATAAATGCTTTTGTTTTTTTTTTGTCTTTAATATTTTAATAGTGTTAGATCTATTTGCAAGAAAAACCTTCCTATAATACACAACTAAACAATTTTTTAACTTGGTTCGGTAGAATCTACGTTTTCAACACAAGCTAATGTTATAATCTGTGCAAGGATGGCGATGCTTGGGAAGTAATACGTTCCGCCGAGTTCCAACAAAAAATATGTTGTTCGCGTAATTTGTTCATTTAAAATAAAGTTTTATTATATCGTTCGTGTTAGTAAAATTTCTATGATAAATTCAACATTTTGAAACATTTAATTCCGATTATTATCATGCGTCAGTGTAAAATTTATGAATTTTCTCCTGCACTCTGTCTTGGCGGCAACAATACGATGAATATCAACAAAGATATTGCTCTTATAGGAAACTTATTAGTTCATTAGTGTTAGTGGGAATTAAAGTTACAGATACAATTTTGAATTAGATTACAGCTTTATTTATTTTTTTATTTTACTGTGTACCTACTATTGATCATTTATACAAAATACACGATGAATGATGTCCGTGACAAAGTGTCTGCCGGTTCCTCAACGTGGGAGGGTGGCGTTACGCACGGTGAACCACCACCTGAAGCGCAGTCGTCGCCAAGCGCTGGCGGAGAAACTCCTCAAACTCCTGGAGCGCCGGTCCCGTTAGCCCAGCATCTCGCTGCAGATTTGCATCCAGACCTCATACAACAGGGATGGCGAAAGTATTGGTCTAAACGAGAGAATAGGCCATATTTTTGGAATAAAATATCAGGAGAATCCATGTGGGAATTGCCAGCAGTAAAAAGAGATTTTGATCCAATTACAGACCCCTTAGGGATATGCCACACTGGCCCACCTCCTGCTGGCAGTGTCACACCGAGTGCTAGCAAACGGCGACCTTCTGAGGATAATGGCCCTCCACCAAAGAAGTTTGTTTTAGCTGGTCCTTGGGATATAGAAGTACCAACAAATGTTGTAATATATGAACGTCCACCGACTATATGTCCGCATCCCCATCCTGAAATAGAGGGATTTAGATTCACTTTAGCAAATAAACTGAGGCAATGTTATCAAGAGCTGTGTCACACAAGAGAAAGCATAGATGCACCAAAGGATTCATTTAATCGTTGGTTAATGGAGAGAAAGGTAAATGATCAAGGTGGTTCAGATCCGCTGCTGCCTAGTCATTGCTTTCCTGAAATATCAAGATCTATGTATGAAGAAATAATGAATGATATACCTATAAAGCTGACACACACGAAATTTACGGGTGATGCACGAAAACAATTGTCTCGGTATGCTGAGGCAGCAAAGAAAATGATAGAGTCACGGAATGCATCACCGGAGAGCCGTAAAGTAGTAAAATGGAATGCAGAGGATACATTCCAATGGCTGCGGAGAACTGTTGGTGCTACATATGATGATTTTCAAGACAGATTGGCACATCTTAGAGTATGTCTTAAATCAATTTAAACTTTTATTTAATGTAGTCTTACAGTTGGCATTAATTTAAATTATAATTCATAGGAAGAATTTAGCAAATGAAATGGATTTAGAGAACTGTCATATTATTATTTAATTGAACTATGATATTCAAATAAAAAACAAGGTTCAAGTTTAATACTGCATACTAACAAACTTTCTCTTTTTTTTCTAGAGACAATGCCAACCTCATTTAGCCGAAACAGCAAAAGCATCAGTGGAAGGAATTTGCCTAAAAATATATCATTTATCAGCAGAATATGCAAGAAAAATTAGAGAAAAACATAGCTTTTTATTAAAAGAAAATGGAATTCAGGTACTATACAAAATATTAAAATGTTACACTATGTTAACACAATTGAGAGGCGTATAAAAAAAAATACACAAAAATGTTAAGTTAAAAAAATTATTTTTATTGGTGTGCTGTTTCAATTTAAAATTCTTAAGCTACATTTTTATTCAATACAATTTTATTGAATTCTTCTTAAAAAAACGTCAGATAAATTTACATGTGTAATTAAAAAGTATGCAAAGCAAATGATGGGCATCGAACTCAGACCTGCAGATAACGAGTGCTTATACTGAGCCTCCAATATTCGAGAGGGTGGAGCGAAGTAAGAGTGCGTGTGTGTTATTACAGGAGCTAACGGCACCACTGCAACAGGCGGCGCTTCGCAAGGTGTGGTGCTACCCGGTGCAGTGCGGCATCCCCGCGCCCCGCTCGCCCCTCGTCGAGCACTTCCTAGACCGCGACCAGGCGCTGCTGCGCTACCTCGGCGACACACAAATCATCAATGCCACATATCTACAGAAATTGGTAAATAAATAACATATAATATTCAAAGTATACTGTCCAGGATGTTTATTTCTTATTCATTTCAGTGAAATATCATGTTAATCTCAAAATGTAACAAGGTCAAATATTTTTATGCCAGAATGTGGCAAATGAACGGTAACTTGGTATTGCTAAAATATCGAATCGAACATTGCTCAAAGATTTATTTCAGTATATGAAAGGTGGCTTAGATTTTTTTAGTTTAACGTAAATTGTGAGAGAAGATGTAACAAAACCATGTTTGTTGCAGGAGTGCCTGTACAGATACAGCTGCTTTGACGACAAGAAGTTCGAGCAGTTTCTGTCGCGCGTGTGGTGCGTGCTACGGCGCTACGCGGCGTGGGTTGGTGCGGGCGGTGACGCGCATCTCACGCAGATGTCGCTGCCCGTGCCCGTGCTCGAGTGCCTGCATCGGTGCTTCGGAGTCACCTTTGAATGCTTCGCCAGCCCCCTTGACTGCTACTTCAGGCAGTACTGTTCAGCATTCGCAGATACAGACTCATACTTTGGCTCTAGGGGGTGAGTAAATCTTGATATTTTCATACAGTAGTATAAAAACTAAACTGTATCCTTTAAACATGATGTATTAAGTACTTGTTGGTTTTATAATTATCTACTGTGATTAAGTCAATTGTGCTTGTTAAATAGAAAAATAATTGTTTTGTTGAATCATCAATGTAATTTTTTTTTAATTAGTAATGATAATTAAGTTGACTTAATGCTATTTCCGATGCTGGGAATACCAATCATACATATAGTAACAGTATGCAATATTTGTGGTACAGTCCATTCCTGGAGCTGCGTCCAGTATCAGGGTCGCTGGTGGCGCACCCGCCGTACTGCGAGGAGCTGCTGGAGGCGGCGCTGCGGCACATGGAGCGCCTGCTGCAGGAGTCCGCGGAGCCGCTCAGCTTCGTGGTGGTTCTGCCCGAGTGGCCCGACAGACATACGCACGCACTGCACAAGCTGCAAGCCAGCCACTTCAAACGGAAACAGGTAAATGACAGCAAAAAACGGCCGCAGACACGTAGCAATAGATGTGCACGTACCCGTTCACAAAAGCGTGCGCGCTCGCACACAGATGAGTTTTATTTTACTTACTCCGCTGGCGCATCGACCCAAAGTGGGTCTTGGCCTCCGACACAAGTTTTATTTTATGTATATTTTAAAACGTAAAATAAGAAACGCGCGTCGCAATTTAATGAAAATACATTATCGACGCCGTCTCATTGTGATCTAATTTATTAACTACCGGTTTTTTTAAACTAGGCGGTGTAAATAATTTCAGGTCGTTATACCAGCTTTTGAACATGAATATCGTCATGGATTCCAACACGTCCTTCCAAAGTAAGTCAATCATCACTATACATATCACATTTTCAAAATGATCTCATCAAGACTCACAATATACCTAAATTACAGTAAATCTCTTTCTTAAAATAGCTCGATTTACTTCTTTAATTTTAACAAATAATACAGTAGAAATAATGTACCAGGAACGAGGTGTACTTTCGTTGGGGCGGTGGCACAGTGGTGGTGTGGCTGCAGAACGCTGCGGGGTTCGCGCGCTGGGGGCCCACAGAAGACCGCGTGGAAGCGCTGCTGGACGCGTGGCGGCCGCGCGCCAAGCTGCGCTCCCCGCCCCCACCAAACCCCACGCACCCCGCTAACTCCGCGCACCCCGCACACCCAACACACCCCGCACACCCCGCGCCGCCCCCCAACAACGACACCGACAACGCCAACGCCGCACCAGGCAACGCAACGCCCGCAGATAAACGCTAGCTGTGGCTTTCATTCTATTGTCTATGAAACAACATAGACAATATTTGACATTACAAGTGTCGTGGTTAAACAATTTTAGTTGCGTCGCCACATCACATCGATTTACAAAATATGGACTCAAATTGCTAATAATGTTTGCGCTTTAGCAATCAATCTAATACATAGAAACAGATATTTAGAAACGGAGCGTGCGTTTTTCTCTATGGTGCAGTATATAATGTAAAGAACGCGAAAGTTAACTTACCTCCACTAAAAAAATTCACTATTTAAAATAATTTAGTAAAAAGCTTTTCTTTTGCATACAGAATTAGTTAAAATTACGAAAACGATTATTTGAAATAATGTCATTTCAATTAAAATTTTATGCAAATAAAGATATAAATTGTATGCTTCTAACCGTGGGTTTCTGAGATCTAAATCTCCGTAAGATACATGTTGTCTCTTGTCAAAGATAGTGACAATATGTTCTATATCAGAGTTTTCGGTCTCAATAACCTACGGTAAGTATTTGAAATATTTGATTGCCAAATAATTATGAATATATTGTCTATTTACTTGTGTTCACACAGCAAAAGATAGTGTGATTGTGACTATTTGAAGAATTTAATGAAGTATGAATAGATATAGTAGGAATATGCGGCATAAAGACTGGTAAGGATTTTAGAATGTATGTGCGTGTGTGGGTAGATACATACATGTATATAATGTTGATGGATTCAGAACAATGTAATATTTATAAAATTATAAACATATGTATGTAATAGTCTGTTTGTCAGATTGTTTTGACATCAAACAGATAGTAACATAAAACTGTTTATAGAGTGGACGTTACAAACACTTTTTTTATTTAACAATAATAGCAATCAATCGCCAGTCTCGCTATCCATAGACTTCCTACTACAACGGACAATGGAAGCTGGAACCTCTTTGGTACCTCTTTTTGTGATTACAGTTTGGTTTGTAACGTCCCGTCTATTGATATATCTGTATGTCAATTGTCTAAAGTTACAGCAATTATACAAATAACGCACATCATAGCATTCTTAAAGCAATAATAAATACTTAAGGGCTCCACTTTGTCATGTTAAATGGCTTATCGTTAGTTTCTGAGACCAAATTATTGTATAAAACATATCGTCATCCCTCTTATTTTACTTGACAAAATAAAGCTAGCAATAATATGTTTTATATAACGATTTTGGTGTCAGAAACCAATGAATAATGGCATAAAGTACAGTTTGCTTTAAGTGTGAGAGAAATTTGACGATTTTTATGCAATGAATTTCTACATTTATCATGACATAGCATAATATTTATTTAAATGAATTCTATGTGCATATAGACTTAAGATACCAAATGCTTATAAAATGTTGTTTATTAGACAAATAAAATGGCTTATCGAGCTATTTTTATATAGTTAAAAATATATCTATTATATTTAATAAGACGGATTCGGCATTTGCTGTCGAATGTAGAGGTTATATGATTAGAGTAAAATATTATATAAGAAAAGTAGGACTGCCATTTGTTTCACTTTTGATAGATCTAAAAAAATCAATTTTAACTTTTTTCAAATATTTTTTTTATTTATTATACTTTTTTTTTACTTAATAAATTAAATATCTACATTGTGATTGAAAGTTTTATATGTATTTTTTTTTCATATTCTATTTTCTATTCTTTTTTATATAATAAAGAAAAAAATTATTAAAATTATCACTAATTTTGACAGAAAAAGATGAATTTAAAAATAACAAATGGTAGATCTATGTTCTAAAATTAATCTATAGCGAATAAGCAAGAAAAACACAATTATTCAACTTGGCGATAGCCTCAGAATTCCTGCCAATCGATGTATAGAAATGCAGTAAGAATTATAACTACATTTTATATTAATTTTATTTTGTGTGGTGTTTTCAAACATTATTATGGTAAGATATTGATATCTTATCTATGGACCTGTTTAATTTCTTTAGGAATTTAGTCCTATTAATATTATCAGTGATATTAAAAAAGACCATCACAATTCACTTTTTACTTTATATACAATTCTGTAAATCTAACCATAGGTTTCCACTGACGAAACACACCTGTACATAAGAATAAAAAAAATGACACCAATATCGAAGTAACTGACGAAAAGATTTACATCTCTTATATTAATAGAGATGTAACTTTTTTCGTCGTATTGATCATGTTTGTTGTGTGCTTGTTTCGCCAATGGAAACCCACGGAAATATGTACTTGTATAATGTTATACTACTTGTAAGAATTTTTATCTGTTTGTATCAATTATAAGTTTAAAAATCAATTTTTAAATGTGATAATATATTCTTAGTTTCAAACTTAGTGTAATTTCTAAGAATGATTTTTAAATGTCTCTCACATAATCACGTTTAACACAACATTGTGTAGGTTCTGATGATTAACGGTGCCTTTTTTATGATTACAGATGTCATAGTCCATATTTTTAAAGCAATAAGTATTAAGTACAATGCGGGAGCCGGCCGCTACTAGCATACTTTATAATCTGACTTTCAACCAAATTATACTTGTACATATGTTTTGGTTTGCATATCACAATACTTTCAAACGACGCCTAATGAAGCTAACCTTTTAATAAATTCAGAATATTAAAAAATAATAATATGATTGTCTTCCGGCGGGCGCAGGTCGCTTACCTATTATTGTTATAAAGATTTCATGTGTTTAATGATTTTTACAACATTCAAATCAATTATGAACGCGTGTGGATCGACGTGGACTATAAATATAAGATTATGTAGAGTTTGTACATAGAATCGTGTAATGTACATAATTTTCGACATGATTTTGTTTATTTACTTAATGTAAGTTCTTTTAAGAGTCCCTTTTTCACTGTTGTAAATTACGATAAAGATATATTTTGATTGTTCGTCATTATATTTTTTAAAAAATCATGTTGTTTTTTTTTATTCCATCAGGATTCTACTGCTTCCCACACTGTTCAATTTATTTCATAAAGTACACATTTTTTTCTCTCTTACCAGATACATTTACAGTATTTTTGGTGATTTCCTTTTTGTTAATTGTGTGAACAAAAGTAATTGTAAAAAGAATAGCCTTATAACTAGCCAATATATTAGAAAAACCAATATTGTTTGCACCTCGTTTACAAGCTGGGGAGTAATAAAATATATGACGCTCTCGCCACTCTTCCACCTTTTAAAAGTAAAGGATGGGATGTATTGATTCAAATAAAAAACATTTAGAGAAAGAAAATATATTTAGAAAATAAAAATACATGTGTTAACTAATATTAGAAGATTGCCACAACAAATTACAGGCGGATTTACGAAACAGATCACATCGAAACTTTGTTAAGAATATATCACGTTAAATAATTTAGCATTAATAAAGAAATGGCTGAAACATATTTAAACTTTAGAGATGTCCAGAATTGTTTTTTTTTCTATACAATAGTGTATTAAAATGTGAGATACCCATTTCCAATATTTTTTTTACTTTCGTCAGATTTATTTTTATACTTTGGTCATAGTCTTTTTTATTTAGATGTATTATATTGACTTCCAGCAGTATTTTTATAATGTAGAAATAACTTACTTGTGACTTCTCTTAATTCGTCAATAAGTACTTCAAGGCTAAGTTTTACAACATTTTGTATTACATTTATTAACACCAATTTTTATTGGGAACGTTATGTTCAGCCTCGCAAGAAATTGTGCAAAATTAATATAGAACTTTAAAAATCTTATTGTTGCCATATTTTGGACACAAATAAAGTGATTTTTTTTTATATGTAACAAACTCAAAAATCACTCCTTAAAACTATCATAAATCTATTCATGAACAATATTTTTACCTTACCTTTTAATTCTACCTTAAGATTGATAAAAAATTGATAGAAATGTCGCATTCATTTTGAGTCTACACCGATAAACAAATTGTGTGGTTAGACTTAATGTAAAAATAATTGTGTCACTTTTGCATTAATGATAATTTCAATGAAAATGGAGCATCACAAGTGTTGTATGTGAAAGGTAAATACTTTCCGCTAAAAAGAAAAATGTATCATGCTTACGAAAAATAACTACTAACCTCTAGTGACTGTTACCTTTCCGGGGTAGACAGAGAAACTATTACTTACCTAGGCTTTCTCGCCTCAAGTAAAATAGTGTCTATAACCAAGCACCAACATGAAAAATTTGTGATTTAAACATATTACACAAACTTCAATCTCAACTAGCCACTTTACCAGAAACCTTCAGGGTACTCCGTCTACTTCATTACTAAATTATTATTGACATGATCCCAATATCCTGCATTATTTAAAAAAAAAATCAATTGTTATAAGTAAATTTGTGAATAACTACTTAATTATTGAACAATATTATAAATTGCAATAACCTATGGATTATCTACTATTTTCTGCTAAGTATTGCTCTAAGTAATATAAATGTAAATATATTTTGAAATAAGAAAAAAGAAATAAGTGCAGTACATAAAAATTTGATTGTAAACTTAGTTATATTCTTCATCTTCATCCATAGCAAAGTCCACGCCAGAGTCCACAGCACACACGGGGCTAGAAAAAGAATAACATATTGTAAACATCTTAATAATGTGTATTATCAATCAAATTTCTTTTTAAATGTTCAAATACTGAGTGAGAAAAAAAAATATGGGTTAAAAAATTATGCATCATGAAACTATGGGATATGTTACTTTTAAACACAAAATATTTCTTAACACAACATATCAACTAGTTTTATATAATATTGTTGTAAAATTAAGTCCTTTAAAATGCATTACCTCATTGCTCTGCATGTAAAGAACACAATCCGTTTGAGCTTCTTGTTGTAGAAGAAGTAGTTGAAAGTCCACAGACAGCCGGGCTCGCCGAAGGGGTCACTAGCAAGGTCAGGCCCATAGCTGTAGATGCGGCAGTCTGCAAGCGCCACCTCGTCGTCTATGGCGGCCCACAGCGCCGGCCGCAATTGACGCCAACGCGCGCCGCCCACCGCCGATAGCGCCGCGTCCACCGCGCCTTGCGCCCACGTGACCGATGGCTCCGCGCTGAACTCGTTGCTCTGATGTTTACATTATATTATTGTTACACAAGTACCAGCAACATTAAAGAAATAATTTTAGATATTAGAGAACTTTATCATGTTTCTTATTTATATATAAAAAATATGGCAAAATCATTGACAGTAAACTTAAAAATACAGCCATGGTACATCACTTTGAGTTAAAATAAATATACTTTACCTTTGCCATTGAAAAATCATAATCAGGGAATGCCGCATTCAATGTTGCAATTAAATAGAATAATGTCTTCCGCGATATTGTATCACAGAGAACTCCATCCTCATCTCCTGACAGGCTGCGACTACAAATAAAATATTATTACTCCATCAATATACCTTGCTCAAATGAAAAAGAATTGCAAACATAGCTCATCTGAACCTCTATCAAACTATATTATGTAAAACTGTCTCTCTCAGACAAATTATTTACTACCTAAGTATTATTGTAAGTTATACACAAAATTGACTGGTACTAATTAATAACATGTACTACTGAGTGTCAGTGTAACAAATGAAGTGAAAATAACAAGTAATGGCCCACCATTACTCATTTTTCTTGTAAAGCACCCTAATAACAACTGCATTAGTTTCTATAAATTTATTACAGCAGGTAGTTTTTGGAAGGAAGAAACAAATATCTTTGTTTACAAAGAACATATACCTGTATGTAACACCTTCTGGAGGTGACAGTGCTTGCAGGTTGTGAGTGGTTTCTCCATCAGCAGTAAAACGCTTGTAGAAGGCTTTCTCGCTTCCCGCCATCTTACAGCTGTAACTTTCAACACGACCCTGCACGGCGCTGTCGCCGTTCAAGATCGAAAGTGCGCGGCTAAGCGCTTCCAAGCGACCGCTTTCCAAAAGTTTCATCTTCAGTATTTTGAGTTTTGTTTTACCCACTAAAACTTCTGATTATAAATGCTGTGCTTGTATATTTGCAGCACGGTGCATTACTTCTGTACATAGCAGAGGGGTGTATGAATATTCCTTTTCTTTTTGAATGGAGAAGATTAACACTCGGAATTAAATTCGACTTCTGTTCTTCCGCGCTGATGGGATGCGGGAACATCACAAATAAGAGAAGAAGTAGAGATTTTCTAATTGCTGTTAGAATTCGTATCAGTGTATTTTTAGCTCGCTGAGCCCTCTGTCTACAATAGCGCGTCACTACACTTGTTGTCCTACAAATTTTCACAAACACAAATCGTATTGTTAAAGATCAAAATCCATGAAAGACATCGTTGATAACGTTAAATAAACACAGCAAAGTAATATTTATAAACTATCAATTACGATTGAGGAAGTATTGAAGTGCAATTGGATTTTTAACTCACAATCACAGTACCATTACACAATACTCAAAGCAGAGTCTATAAAAAACGAAACAGTACGATTACACAAACACAAAGCACAATAGTGATGTGATACACAGATCCGAATACCGATTACAAGTGGCATTGCTTGTTACTTGGACGGTTTCCGATTTTGATACATTTTTACTTTTTTTAATACCAACGTCCATTTGTTTATTCAAAAGGAAGAAGAAAAATATTAAAATTATTAGAGCAGCACTTTTACGAAAGCAGATACCTTTAATTGATTAACAAAATTTACAAGTTGAAAAAAAAGGAAATGATCGCTATACTTTACAGGCATGCGAAACTCTATTAGTCTATGGTACAAATTGAACGCAAACGGAGATCCTCCATCTTGAAAATTGTGTCTATCCCACTCATAAGTTTCTCTATAATTTTTGGGCTGTTTAAAAAAAAAAC